CCCGCTTCTTCTCACCTTCTCAATCCATACAAGATTATAATACACCTGATTTAATGATGGCCCCATTATACAAAGGCCTCTCCGTGTTGGTGAGTGAGTTTGATGATGCAAACAACCCGAGCCGAGTGAAAGTCTGAATTCACTCACTTCTGAATTTTGAGCAAATGTCAACATTCGTCTGAGAAGAACGAAACTGATAAATTTCCATTATTATTGGCAAAGGAATTGGATGGTGCTGTTGTGAGTGAGTGAGAATAAGTGGTCCCTCACACGTTCTCACATTCACATCATATTATTCGTTTCTTGAACCAACTTCCATCATCATCATCTCACCACCAGCAGCAGAAGAAGCAGACGCAGGAGCAAATTTGTGGAAGGGAGCAGGCAGATTATAATTTTAATACTCAATCCAAATATTGTCATTGAAAGGGAAGACGACAGCAGCATCATCATCATCGACATGGTCTCTTCCTCACATCTCCACACAATTTGGAGAGGGAAGAGACTGGTGGTTAGCGACAGGAAGGAAAATTATATCTTGTCCTGACAATGCAGTCCTTCCCTTATTATTACTTACATGACTTTTTGTTTGCTGAACAACCACAGAGAAAAAGTGGACTTGTTGATGTTTAATGGTGAATTGATGAAATGAAATAGGTGTGTCTCTTATCCTCCAGTTTTTTTTATAAGCAATTCAGAGCAGGTTCCTCAGATTCGATGAGAAGAACTTTGAATGCCTATGTGCATCATCGCATCATTGTTCTAATCAATCCAACGGAGCAGCGCAGTTGTGTCTGGTAGGAAGGGCAAAGACAAGGGTGGATGAGTGAATTTTGTCTCAAATCATGCGTTGGCGTCTCCACAAATTCTGGACGGATGGATGGAGATGACTCTCTCTAGCTGTATCCCTCTTTGCATTTGGTTCATAATCATGAGAAGGGTGCATAGACACTGAAAACCACAAAATAATTATTTTACTAAACTTTAATACATCAAGACAAACCGCGAAAGTAATTTGCTCAATTTCCCATCATCAAATGTTCCTTTCAAAAACCTCTAACGATTCACTGAGAGTAAAAGAGTCGAGGGTTGGTTGACTATAAAGTCACCGATATGTATGTATGTACAAGCAGATATGTACAAGTATGTGTGTTGAAGAAGGGGAGAGTTGAGTCAGGCTTCGTAACAATCAACCAAGGCCAAATGAATTAAAAGATGCTTCCCATGTCCATCTTGATACATGACTGACGCGACGTAATTACTCCAAGCTAAAAATTACAGGAGAGACGACATTGTGTGGTCTACTCCTAAATATCTATATTCGCGCTGATTTCGCGTCCCTGGTTGTACATACATGGATATATTTTCACTCGTACTAGTCGTATGTCTTAAATCATTATGAAACACGCAGCTTGATGGGGACCTGGTAGTCAGTCAGACAAATAATCTATAGCTGCCGATAAATTAGGAGCCTTATGATGAAAGGAATGGATCAATGACACATTATGGGCTGCACAGTTGGGCATGACTGAAACCAATGTGAGACGTTGTTGTTTGTGATTGTAGATAAAAATAATATGGGAAGAATTAAAAGTGTCCAATAAAGTTGTCTCAAAGTTTGAAATGCGTACCAAATGTTATGTCACCTGAGTGACCACATCCTCCCTCCTCCTTTGATTTTGTGTATTTTAATGGCTAAATTTGCCTACTTGTGAAAGGAAATTTCTCATTATTTCAGCAAAGCCCAAGGGAGTTTTTCAAGTGGTGGAGTATTGTCATCATCATTGATGCGCGATCGTAATGACGACAGTAATGGTTGGATGAAGACACGATAATTGCACGATTCGAGTGACATTCAACTCTTGTGAAAAACTATATGCACCGGATATTTAAAAACTAAGTTTATTTTTATACGCTTTACTGCCAAACCAACTGGCAGACAAATTGTGTAATAATAATGGAAGGAGTAGGGATTCAGTGGGATTGATAGAGAGGAAATAAGACGCCAAGAAGGAACGCTGTGCTATGCCATGTGCAGATATGTACGTATAGACGTGTATACCTTTCCATGATGATGGCTAGAAATTAGTGGAAAAGCAAGCAAGTCTACAAAAGAATATCAATCTTGCGTAACTTAATCACGTACAGTCAGACTTGTCAACAGAAATTAAAGTAATTCCACAGTATTCCACAGTCAGTAAATTTTAAATTGTTGCTTCTTCAGTCTTTTGAAAAAGTGAAGAAATTAAAGATACGGACACGGATAGTTAAAGCATTTGGCTTCAGTTCTTCATCGCTTCACGTTAACTAACTGCACCACCATCAACTGTTGACAGTTGTTGCGAAGAGATTTTTAATGTGCTAATATCTTTGTGAACAATGAAGAGGAAGATTGAAGCAACAGAAAAAGAATGGAAAATGAGCACAAAGGGGACAAAATGGAAATTGGGATCTGGCTGGCTCTGCTATAACTAACTTCTTCGCGGTTTAAATACCTTTTGCTAAGAATTTTGCTATTCTTTTCTTCTTCTGCTGCTCCTTCTTGTTCGTTTCTCATTCATTATTCTTAGCCGGAACATTCTATGACAAAATGGCTATTAGAAGAATGTAGTAATGCGAAGAAGTTCTCGTTCTCATCGGTCTGCTTGTGGGAACCTGAACTAAAAAAAATTGGTGGATAAAAAGAGGACATTGGACGAACAATTGTTTCGTCGAGAGATGAAGATGAGAGCAGCAGCACCATCATCATTAAACATTAAAAGACTTCATTTTAGGTTTAGACTAAAATCAAGAAAAACACTGCATGGATGTAATGAATGGATGAGAAATAACGACGACGACGACGACGAAGCCTGATTCAACTTTTAGTGCATGCTTTATTACACATTAGTTTGGCAGGTTGTTCAGGCAGGAGTTTGCACAGAGGAGATGAGACAGTCAACCAACTCGAAAAGACGTGAGATTGGACACGCTGGATGAACCAAGAAAATGTTCATTTGCATCATCATCACCAATCCTGAATGCTGCTGCTGCTATTTATTGCATAGGGATGAGATAAACCTGATGATGAACGTAAATAGCTCCTTCATGACCGGCAGGAAAAGAGCGATTAAGCTCAGAACTGATTTAATTGGAGGCATAATTAGTGTAATTGTCCTCTAAGTGACACTTCCTTAACTCGATACCATCTCGTATGCGACGAGACCAAAGACTTTGCAATCCTTCTTCATCCGTACTCACTCGCATTATTTTATTATAACATTTCCAGATATTCAGAGATTTTAATAAGAGACAGTTAGTCTTGATTTGTGTGATGAACATAAAATGAGTTGATTTCAGTGGAAAAGACGAATTTGTTTAACAGAATGACAAAGGGTTTTCTGAAAATTCCCCGTTTCAGACATTATTTCTATATTTAGTTGTTGCATTAAGCAAGCAGAACATTAGCCGTTGGTTGAGCTGGTTGAATAATAATAAAAAAGAAGAAATGATTATTAAACGATGAGAGGAATGAACGAGAACCAGTTGCTTGTTGGTGACTTATTATTACTCTGAATGCCTGCGTGATGATTGTTTTCCTTTTCCGTTCTCTTATTACGATATAATAAATGCTGTGGCAGTTTTAGTTTAGTTTATTTTGTATCATTATTTAGCTGTAGGTCTCCTCCGTGGAAAACCTATCTACATGTAATGCTTATGTACCCATGTATATGTATGTATATGTATGTATATGGATGGGTAGTGTGTCCGGACTTTTTGAGTCAATTCAGTGACAATGGTTTAACGCAGCTATTATTTAACCAGTGATGTGACCGAAATGGGTATGCATTGTTAGCATCAAAATTTCGAATCTGTTTTGCTTACATAGCAGGAAAGAAAAAAATAATGCATCCGTAGTCAAGTCGTGAGAACAACTGTGATTTAATTGTAGTTTGCGATGACCATATGGAGCCCAAAATAATTTTGGGGTTTTTATGACTTGGGACTTCATTGCCTAAACTGCCATATACTTTATGCTTGCGACTATTTCATCAATTTGATTTTTTGCCCCTTCTTGTTTACTTTACGTTGTTCTTTGTAATTGTGTAGAGTTACAGAGCAGGAAAGATCCTGTGCTGTGCTGTATGCGGTCTACATGTGTTGGACTTGCTCGTTTATTCGAGTCATTCATTAGTACATCTTTGTTTTCCTAATCACCAGACTGTAAATTCATGCAGGAAGAATTTAGATATAAAATTTTGAAACATGACTTTAGATTTCAAGCCTTTCTTTTCACAACATTGTTCCTTCTCGCAGGAAATCACTCGTGCAAAAAATGAATCTCATTCCGCACGAAGTGCTTGGTGGATCCGTACGTATGTATATGTGTGGCAGAAGGTTTAGTCTATGTGTGCATCTGTACATCTCAGCAGCGTAATTATTATGAAGCAAAAGATAATGATAACATTAGAAGAGATGTAAAAAAAAATATTCAATTTTGACAGAGCATGATAAGTGGCTAATTGTGAGCTGTAATTCATTAAGACATTGTCTGCAACATGATACGGATATAAATATACAGAGGTATGTATACATACATATGCATGCGAAGAAGAATGTGGAAAGCTGTACGAGCTGTAATATCAACAACCAGTGAATAAGTTTTCATAATTGAATGTTAAATGCTACCCGTGCACCACCTTCTTCAGTTTCTCGCTGTTTTATTTTACCTTGCTCACCTCGACAGATTAAATTATCTCTTTACTTGTCGTCAACTTAATGCTTGGTGCATTCAACCCGTCTCTCCATCTTTTTTATGGCAGTCACAACAATAAAGCCTGCATATCAAAAGTCCATTGTTCATCTCGACTCGATACGACTTGGCCGTTGTAGATATTTATAATGTTGCAGCTGCATGTTAAACTCGTACATTAACAATTGTAGCAATTAGCAGTTGCCCGAAAAAGGTAAATATTACGTGGAAAAAAAACTAAATATGTTTGATTTGTTTTAATGAACAGGCAGGAGACCAGAATGCGAGTCCGAAAGCATAATCCAACAAAGACCAAAATATGCTGAGCAGGATGAGCAGGAAGCAATGCGATCAAGTTTTAGTAAGGGTCCACATTCGTCTTCATATCAGGACGGAATTCACCCACCTCTTTCGCAGGAATTCTTGAAGGGTCTAAATTTGCAGTCAAAACCATGCACTACTAGCAATTCCGTGCCCAACCCCTCAAGTCCTGCGCAACTTAACCCGGATATGGAGTACTTTGTACAGAAAATAGCTGCTTTGGCCAGAGCTTCGTCCTCCGCAGGTGATGATACAGATTCCAATGCAAACTGCGTCAATGATAACCGAGATACTGAATAAGTCCATTTTGCTCTTGCAAGTAGCAAAATATTTGCGTGTGTTGTGTATGTGTATTGTACAATTAAGTGTAAGGTCAATACTTAGCCCATACATATAATAACTTGGATGAATATAATGAACAGTAGGCAATAATTAATATGGAAGACGAGCTTTCTTTCTCTATTTAGGGTAGAAATGTGAGACGAATACAAGGCTATACTAAATATTTACATGGAATTTAGATACTAAAAGTGTAAAATCCCCGATTCCCCACCCTTGAGCATTTGAGCAGCAATCTTCGATGAGCAGATATCCCAACAACACTTTGAAAGATATTAAATATTTTCATTTAATAAGAGCAGATACCAAACGTTTGTAAATATATTTAGTTGGTGGCGAAAGCAACAGCTTCACAAGTACTTAAACACTAGAATATTATTCTTGTCGTATTTATTACATATGTAGAAACTAAAACAATACTTTGACGGTGAAATTTCCTAAACAATTGACACGAGTGGTTCCTACTTTTAGTGACAGTGCAGTGTATGAGCTGCAAAAAATCAATTCATGAGTCCTATTAACTCGATAGTTATATTCATACCTACTTGAAAACAACGCGGTGACATGTAAGAGCAACAAACTAGCGAATTTTTCAACAAAAAGTATAACCGAGCAGTATACATAATTATTAAATATAATTCACAAAACTACAAATCAACAAAGTTCCATAAACTTGAACGTAATGTTTCCTATTTGATCAATGATCAATCCTATTAGTTAAGGTCCACATTCCTTATTACTACTTTGTGGTGGTCACCCATCGTACGACTATTGGTGACAACTAAGCTAACTCGGTGTATGTATATATGAAATTATGAACAGTGAATGAAAAGTGTAGGTATAATTTTGTCTGTATTATTACGATTACTAGAGAACAATGCAAGGAAACTGAATTATTACGAAATAGAGTTTGTGTATATAGGAAATATGTGACAAGTGAAATTTACAGTTAAGATAATCGTATCATACTTACATGTAAAAAATATCTAAATTTCCATCAATCACAGCAGCAGGAGCATTTCATAATGAAAGCTATAAATATCTTAAAATTTAAATGTACCAAAAAATCCGCATCACTCACTAAATAGTGAATGCGATCAAACCATATTCTGAGACACAAAACAAACCAAATACTGAATTTCCAACGAGCAATGCAGAGACTCGTCCCACTAATTCCCACCCCACCCACACATCCCTTAACAAATGAAGAGGAGAGAAAGAGTATGTAGGAGCAGGCCAGGTGACTACGTAGGAATATATACGATAAGTTACGGATATAACAAAAAACAAATAGACAAAACGAAAATTTTTGCTAGTTTTATTCGATAGATTTTAGGCTTAAACGGAGCAAACTTTGCATAATTTATTCAGTAATAACTAATCCTATGATAAGATTTATTAAGATAAGGCTCCCATTCAGGGAACATTTTACACGAAATACAACCAATCTGAAAAGAAAGTCATCACTTTCAGGTAAATTTTGGTCCAAGGGGAAGGAGGAGTAAGAAGGAAATATGCATAAGTGCAATGCGAATTAAATAATGTGCACCACAAACTGATCACTTTTTGCATGCATCACTTGTTGTGTGCATGATTATTCCAAAGACGTCGAAAAATGAGGCAACCTGAAAGCAGTAGTAGCAGACATTCCTCGAGTTGGCTCTCCTCCTTCTCCAAAGGCCAAATAAACTTAAGCCGAGTCTTGCAGCTGGGACAAGGATTAGGCTTACACAATCAATCAGCATCTGACAAAAAATGTATTCTCTTTACTGGAAACTCACAGAATTATGATCAAACCAAAATCCGGGCAAACAAAAAGCGAGAGCTAACGAACCTGAACCAAAGACATAAAAGTATGTAAGAAGGAAGGAGAGAAGGGCTGACTCCAATCTAACGCAGGTTCCCCTTTCTTCCCGATTTGAAGATGAAAGGGAATAAAAATTGCTACTTGTATATATTGTCAATGTCATTAGAGGAGCAACCTCTTTAAACCGACAGACCAAGGGAGAGAGAATTTGTGTAAAGGTGCAGCAGAACACTCTTGAGGAACCAAAATCATTAACAGCTCCGAAACTACGTACGTACGTACGTGCATATATTCACCATTCACATGAGTGCGATTGGAGCACTCTTGTACATAAAATTAACGGCATTGGTCGCTTTTGAGCTTTAATTCAAACTATGGAGGGTGTTTCTGAGGACAAGTAGCAGCGTTTCCTTGAATTTCACATACCTCGCAGTTGGATGTTGATGAAGAAGGAAAAGAGAGTAAATAATTGTCACTCGAAAGTTTGAACAATTTTTTGAACAACTTGTTAAATTACTAATAAGAACAAGGAGGAAATCAAATAAAAGTACCCACGCGCATGCAGAGAACAAGAAATTAAGTCTTCAAACTGCCGCAATTTCAAACGTTTTGAAAAAAATCTAGTGCGTATTTGCAATGGAAAATACGATTGATTCCAATGTACAGATAAACTATAAAGATCATCTCCTCAATCTAAGAACAACAATATTCACGGTGATGTGGAAATGTACTCACCAAGTGCATTTCTTTGTTAGGGAAGAAAAAATAAGCGACGTGCTCAAGGGCTACATCTCAACACGGCGATTGTCGCTTGCCAATTTCCAAAGTCTTGTGTGGTATACGGTCACCCTTGTCCATAAGGAAATATGCATGTGTCGCTGGTGTCTCAAAAACTGAGCTAGCGACCGCAGACTTTCAACCTAAATTTTAAGAAATGCAGTGAAAGTATTCTGCCCAAGAATCAAACAAAACTTTATAAGGTTGAGAGCATGATATTGGACAAGGGATGATGGAAACCCATGAGATATTTGCAAATTGGCCAGATTGAAAAAAAGAATGCAGAAATACATTCCCAGTTTCATGGTTCCTATTAAATAGTTAACTTAAGGTTCCTCTATAAAACATGCTTTTTTCTATTGCGTGAAATATAATATAAATCAATACGTGAAATATAATTAAGTAATAATGTGTACTTTCATAGTTGTGGCGTTCTGCGAACCATATTAATCTCACGTTACTCTCTCTATTAATTCGGACGTTAATGATTTCTCACCACCACAATTCATGAGCCATATGATAAATATATCTCCATCTGAGCATGTTAAGTAAATACCTCGCAAAAACTATCATTTCAATTAATTTTACTCTTACATGCTGTAGCCAAAAATCCTTGGCTGTAATCCATTGGAACGTAATCAATTCAACTTTCTTTTAAAAGCACATGAAAAATATATTTCGAACTTAATCATCACTTATCCCGAGTTAACTAGTGAAATTCATCCCCGTATAAAATCAGTTGACGAACAAAATCACCTTGAATTTAAATTGCAGAACGCCATTTTCTCTGAGTACTGCAGTGTAACATTTTTTGACATTGTGGTGTGTCGCTAACTTTCTTGTCGTACATATTTATATGAAATATATATATAAAACAGTTTTTACATTTTGAAACCATTTTTGTTGAAGAATGATTTCCTTCTGCCTTGGTTCACGAGTGATGGGGAAAGTCGAGGTGTGGAGGCTCCTTCTATTTTCTCCAGCTGCTCATTCTTGACGTTTTGAGACAGACTAAAGCTTTTGAGACCAATTTTTCCAACCTAATTTCTCATTCTGTATCCCGTTCTGACAACCAATAAATGATCTCAATACTCAACCACGTAAGATAACTTTCTTTCACTCATTTTGGAAATGTCAGGTTTCCGTTGTGACGACTGACGACACACGACAGACGCGAAAAAAACTACGTTGACTGTGAAGAAACAATCCTCCTAAGCCTCGTTGAAAAGTTCCTATTGCAAGCCTGAATAATCAGGCCTACAATCGTATACACACATGCATATTTATTGAGGATATACATAATCTATGAATTAATTGATTAAATCAATGGTAGTTACTGTAATTTTCATAGTCCTGTAATGAAAAGTAGTGGGTAGACTTATACACAAGTAAGTAGACTGCGTACCATGAATTATCTTCGTAAACGTCAAGTATCGTGTCCAAATTTTCATCAGTTTACTATTCAATACTTATATACAACCTTTTCAATAACTCGATCCTTCGGGATAAAGCAATCATCCAGCTTTACTTGAGCAACGCCACACTGACCATTTACTAGTCTCAACTTCCCACACAAATTCACACGTTTGCTAGCATTTCGTACCTTTCGTTCACTTTGTTCTCGTTACCAAAGTTATGTAACCTTCATCCTATGAAGATGAATTGATGAAAGACTCGTAATAAATCGACAAGTTGAATAATGAATAATATGCAACTCCATTTAAGAATGACAAATAAAATCACACGATCGAGTGAGTCATGTTGACTTTTACTGATAAAATAGTTATAGAATTTATGTTATACTGTTAATTGTTACATTTATTGTAATTTGTACGAGTAGAACGATTGTATTTATATTTTACTCTATAGTTTACTTGCAGCGTGCGTTGTAATATCGGTATTGAATATAATGGAAACTGGCGAATCCCAATAAATCTATTAATTTGTCGTGGAAAATATTTTTGTCTTTAAATTATTTCGCTAATCATGATGACGCTATAAATTAACCCTATTTGCATAATAAGAGCATACAATTTGCATAATACCTACGGAATCATTGCAACTGTCAAGCGTATTTTTTTAATTTCGAATAAAATAATGACAAATTACCGATTGGCACGACACTTGATAATTTGGATTAATTTTGGGTTGATGTCATCTGAACTGTCATCGCTCATTCGTTGTGGATTCAATATTCATAGCCGAACATAATGCAAGACTTGGACACAGTCATGACTCACTGTTTTCTTTTCATACAACAACTTGGAGTAGCACAGGTGAATAAAACTGCTGTAATCATGTAACATCCCGTCTGCCATCGATCTCAACTCAGGGTCTCAGTGTTTTCGTATTATGCTCATGCACAGAGGTACGACCCATCGTGGGGTGATGGGACATTGTGTTGGCCAGAGTTTGCAAGTGTCACCTACGACGACAAGGTAGTCAAATCCAAACTTTGTGTAAAAATTGATTACTTGCAGACATCAAGTTCTTGCACACATGCAACCCTCATCATTAATTTATGAGACGGGCTTCCAAATAATTTGTCATCAAAGTGAACAAAAACAAATTGTCCCAGACAATTAAACGACCCGATTTAGAATGTCTCGTGTCTTGTCTCATAAGTTTGTGTCCCTTTTGTCCTGTTATTGTTATAGGCTTGGATTCTGTAATTTCATTCATGTTCAGAGGTGTGTTCATAGAACAAGTATGCATTTTTAGGGTGCTAATAAAACATGCGATCTTAGCAGCAGCACATGACACGAAATATTATTGTCCGTTGTCCTTTTTAAAGGATGTACGTATGAAACAACAGTCTATCTGCGCATATTTATTATCATTGCCTTATTTCCTCAACTTTTAACTGTGATGGCAAAAGCACAACAGTTGGGTCGGTTGGTATAAACGGACAAAGGAATAGTTGGCCCATTATTATGATTCTCTAGCAAGGAACGGCCTGCTTGTTCGCTCCAAATTAATCATGCATGTATCTTCTCGAGAAATTTGTGTAATGAAAAGACGCCGACGTTAATGAAAAATTTATTTTCCTCACGACATGCACCTCCAATTAATATCTGGTTGACACTTACACTTTGAAAGAGGAATTAGAACCTGGAAATTTATTGGAGGAAATAATTGACAAACTCAATGGCCAAGCATACAAACTAAACTAACGATAAGTCATCGGGTTGACTGAGCTTTAAAAGAATTTATTGGCACACCAAATAAATGGCAGTTTTCATTTCATAGTACACAAAGATTTCTTATATAAGTAAAAGGTACAAAGTATGCCCTCATTTTGCGTCGTTCGTTATTAAATAGCTTTCATTATTACTCACCACCAAGAGATAAAACCGAATATTTCATTTTATTCGTGTGAAAATGGACAATTAATTTGTTCTTTTATACTTTCCGTAATCTTGAATTCAACTCAAGGTGACATTGCCCATTATTCATTGAGAACAATGGGCAACACTAATGTGAAAATTAATTTGGTTTTGGCTACGACAATTCGGTAATAAGGTAAAACCTGAATTTTCATTAAATTGGAAATATGAAAATAAATGTGTTATGAAAGTTTTCACAAGTAAAAGCATTGAGATTTATCAAAATGTAGGAAGAGACGACGTCTTATACATGAGTTAGGATTATGAAAACTAAGAAAATAAAATAAAATAAAATAAAATAAAAACGCTTTCCAAATGCACAAATCAGGTAACCCTACGTACGTACATAAGCAAAGCATAAGCAAAAGAGAGGATAAGACGAGAGTCGATCGAGTGTCATGTAGCAAAGTCGACGTGCCGTATGACTGGCCCTCCAACTTAATTCTCCTTTTGATTTGAACCGAGTGTAATTAGTCATGAAAGGAGCTGAGGTAAATCACGTTCTCCGCCAGCACTCCATCCAGATCCAAGGAGACGCTCTTCTTCTTCTTCTTCTTCTTCCATTCTATGGCTGCTTGCTTGAGAAGAAAATGATTTGAAAAGGTTTCAATAACTTCAATCCCACCGCTCGCTCACAGGAGGACTTAAACGCTTCCTTTGTTTCAATTCTTTAGATCTCGGCTGAAAAGGAGAGAATGAACATCCGTCTTGAATCTTTTTACCTCCACGTCAAATTAAGGCGTAATCAACGGAGCACAAGAAGAGCAGACACAAAGTTATCAGCATAATCATCGTGGTGATCACTGGTGCTTCTGATGATGACGGGATTTCAAATCTTCATCTTGTGGTCGACTGTTTCCAGACAATTTACATGATCACGTCTCGTCTCATCCAACGGCAAATCATGAACCTATATGTGCATCCATATGAACGCATTTGATTATCTAATGCAAACGGTCTACTCGTTTGTCTTATTACTAAATAATTACAATAAAATGTTTCAATTTCACAATGAACAGATTGGATGTGCTAAATAAAGTGGATGCAATACGATTGAGGGTGAACAAGGCATCGAAATCTGTAATCTGTAGAAGCATCCATTTTAGAATTGGAATTATTTAATTTGATATTCTGCATGGCCATGATAAAATCAATCTCCTTCGCTTCACAATTTTATTTTTACTCTCTCTCTCGTGTTTCCCATGTCCACCTTGTACAGCAAAAAATAAGCTTTTTCTACTTTTTCCCGTCTCTTTTAAACATATTAAAGATTCTGGACGGGACCAGATTCTGGACATGCCCATGCAATATCATATCTGGATGAACGGACCCCTCCACTTCATTTCTCCAGAGCCCACTCTTCCTCTTTTTTCATTTGGTCATCTAGATTTTATATTATTACAGTAAGAAATTCTGTCCGTGCATCTACTGTTGACAGCTTCTCTGCCCAATTTCTTCCCGTTCGAGACTTTCCCTTCCTGTAAAAAACCTGAAATGCAATCTTATTTCGTTTTCACTTTTTCCGACCATGTGAGAAATTACTCATTACATCAGTTTCTTGCTTATACCGTTTATTTTCCCAGGAGACATGTCCCCCCATTTTTTATTAGATTTCCTCTTCCCGTAATTCTCAACAAGAACAGTGTAAGAAAGCGGAGGCTATGGTAAGTTCCATTGTGTGTGACAATTTGAAGGAACTTTTACTTTGAACTAGCAGAAAGAAAGAAAGAGCGTCATGGCAGAGCACACGCCGCCAGCTTTCGTTTTAATTTAAATTCAAATTGTGGTTTGTACAGCATTGAAAAAATGACTTGGATTTCATTTCATTTCATTTTAATGTCTGTCCGTGTGGGAGAAATGACTGATTCGAAGAGTGAGCAAGTGCAAGGAATCGCTGCTGCCGGACTGGCAGAAGAGAGAAGAAGGATCATCCGGAGAATGGGCAAACATGATGACTTTATGGAATGCCGTATTGTGGTTGTGATGGGTTGCTTTCGTTTGATAGTTGGATTGCCGCATGCATTAAAATAAGAAGGGTTGTTGTGTTTTGCGTGTAAATATGTGTGTGTGTGTGTGGAGTAATGGTTGCGGATGCGGATGTACATTGAATTACATACTCTCTCTTCCCCTCCAGGTTCAATCCAAGTGATCCTAATTCTAAACAAAAGCACGTATAAAACGAATCCTACAAGATAGATGAGTTGTAACGTAAGTATTGGCAAGGGAAATTCGGGTGAGAACTGATTGGTTCCCTCTTAAAACGCTCGTTCGCTCTGGTGGTTAACGGGTGGAGGGTGAAAGACTCGACTTGGAAAAATCGGTTTGCAAATGGACCGTTTGTATAAATCTTGGCGGATTGACATTATATGTGAGAAAGTTACATATCAGGGCTATGTATCTTGCCACTGAAATTGCAGGGTCGTCGTTTCATTTTCGAGATAACTGTGTGCTTTCGGTGGGTCACCGGTTTATGAATAAATATACGCCGCCATGTAGTGTAACTTGGTCATATAAATATGTACATAGCGCGTTGTACCCTTAATAAAAATATGCAATAATTTCCAATTTTTATTACCGTATATAGTGATTATGATCTTCTACATGCATACGAACTAGCATTAAGGTCAGGGGGAAAACGACGTACATGTGTGGTTTATAGTAAATTGTGCCCACTGACGGCAATATGTACACTTTAGAGGAGCTTAGCGGTGGAGAAAACAGAATTTGATAGAAAAGACAAATTGTTGGAAAGCTTTTCTGTTCAGTGAAAGAAAGGTATGCATAAAAATCTCTCTCCTGTCTAAACTAAAACTGAGATACGTGCACTTATCCAACGTACATTCGTAACCCTTTGTAATATAATCTGAAGGTCCATCTCTCAAGTTAAGGCATGCAGCGAGCATTCATCTGATTCTCATCCACCGGGAGAAATAAGCGTTTGGTTTGGATAACTTCAAAGGGAGCAATAAATTACATTCTCCCCCGTCTACAAAATTATATTGATTTTGCTCACAGCAAAATGAAATTATTGTTGTGCTCTGGCTCTGTGTATGGATAATGTATCTTTGGGCCCTTTTTACCTTTTTTCTCTTTGAGTTAAAAATTCGAGAGAAATATTGCAAAGTCTTTCCTCGATTGATTACAGAGGGTGTTTAAAATTGCATAGCATACACATGGTTTTACTCAGAATGTCAAATACTAAATATAAAATTCTTACTTGATCACGTTTGCGATGCATGATTAAAAGTGACCACAATGAGGATAATACTACTCAAATGCACTAACTAACTATTTTGCACTAACTACATTGCGGAATTGTAAGGAAATGTGGTGATAAAAGACAAAGATTTACACAAAGATTATGTATTTAAATACAACTCTGAACGAAATTATAAGTTTAGATAGAGAGAACAAAAACATTAATTATATGTATTAATACATCAATAAAAACACTAATCTAGTCTTCTTTGTCTTCACGAGCTGCTTTGATCTTGTCAAATTCGAGTTTGAATTCATTTCCAGACTTGTCGTTGGTGTAAAAGTAGCTCTCTGGGGGGTCCCCAAGTTCACTGATAAGGTGAGCCATATTCTGGAAGCTTTTGTAGTGTCTCTTGACCTCTGGTCTATCTGGGTCAAAGCGGAGAATGAGCTCCTCCTCAGTGATGGTGTAAGGAAGAGTGGTTGCTTCTTCCATGGTGGCCCAAGGGGGAGGATGGGACCGGTCCCCTTTTTCTACAATCCGGAAGAGGGGAATCCCGTCTTCCGCATATTTGATGGCCTTTTGTATGTACTCAAAGGCGGGGGACACCGTGGCTGTGTCAATGTACCGTTCATAGCCAAGTAATTCATTCGTCTTTCTCGCGTAGGCCTAGGATTGAAAAAGAACATTTGTTTTCTTTTGACCGGTCAAAATAAGCATAAATATGTATGACAATACACTACTCACCATCAAAAATCCTTCAACACTTTGTTTTGTCGCCGTGGAGTCACACAGAATGACTTTGTTCTGCATACAAGCCATCGGATTTGGGCTCCCTACAGTTCGGATGTAAATATGGCTGGGGGTTACCGCCAAAGTGAAATGGTCGTCGCGCATTGAAAAAAAACCACAACGACCAGCGAAAATCCCAATGTAATAGAGCAGCCGGGAAGTTTCACCTTCTAGGACCGGTCCTACTTCGTTCTTCATTATGTCAATTAAACGCATTTTCAGATGTTGCTTTGTGAACAATGTGGCAATATAAACGATGTCCAAGGGGGGGGCGTTTGTCATCCGAACTCGATTTGCTCGAGTTGATGGTGTCATAGAGCGGATGGTCTGGATCTTTATACGCCATATTCCTTTCTCGTTGAGACTGAGATATCCCATTTTTAAAACCCCGCTTATAATATGAAAATAGACTGTTTCTCCATCCATCAGATTTCATGACATAATATCCCTTTATGGATGAGCCTATACATAAACAAATCCAAATTAACTTTATAGATGCATAATAATTATGTAACAATATCACATACCTGGAATTTTTGTGTCGAATTGGACAACTAGTTTCTCTTTTCGACGTTGCTGCCCCCAATCTGCGGCATGTTCCAATTCCAATCTTTTGGTGTCATTGCGCACCGGAACCTTCATCTTCATCACCTCGTCGAGCCAATCCAGTAAAACTTCGCGGTGGAACTGTTGGTATACATTGCCCGCCAACTGTAAAAACATTGAACCGGTTCAAATCGAGTCTTAAAGCCAAACAACAATATCAAACAATTAAACGTGCTCACATTTCCGTATCGATAATGAGGAACTGGGATTCCGCGTGAAGGGCCGGGTTGGGGGCTGACCTCGTCCGTATTCTCCAATGTCCCTACATCGTGATCAGTCTCTTCATCATCACTAAACGTTCTGTAAATCAACAAATTACATTATTTTATTGAACTAATTGAAGTTAGTCAAATGTCATCAATCGTTGCACCGGTGCAGACAAAAATGACAATAATTTAATAAACGTTTCTTACAAGTCTACAACACCCGAATCGTCCAATCCAGTCTCTTCGACCTAGGATAAAAAATATTATTAGTTAAATTGTTAACACGCAATATAGATAAGTAGATTTGCAAACAGTAAAGTAAATAATATAATATTTACTGCGCTCTGAACAGCTGTCATAATCGAGGACGAAGTACATGGTTTTGGACTGGGCGGGCGTAAGGACTGATCTTCTTCCCTGTCACTAGAATCCACAAAACTATTATTAAGATTCAACAAGAGAGCAACAATCACGTTATCCGCTAAGGGTCAAGAATATATAAAGAAATAGTAAATAACTAAATATTTGCGTACACTTGGATAGAAGTTTGACCGGTCAAAACAACACGAGGCGCAGCATTCTCCTTCCCCTTTTCGTGTTTTTCTGATTGACCAACACTGAAAATAATAAACTGTTAGAACTGGAATTAAAATACTAATAGTTTGACCGTTTAAACATAATTAACTTACCCAGGAGTTGATGACCGTGGTCTTTTTTGAACAAACATATCCAAAGGACCAAACCCCACTTTGTCCATCGACTTAACAGGGGGGACCCTTTTAGACATGGTGGAATGGGGGGGGGGGTGTGGCCTTCAGAAAGGCCTTTGGTTTGAAGATTTTGTTGTTTAAAAATTAAGCTGAACAGTAACAAATAATTTGCAGCTCTCACACGCACTCCTATCTGACGACTGATTGATTTGGAGATTATGCGGGGGAGTATGAATTACTCGCATTTTTGTTACACGATTTGTCAAGTTTGCACCGGTGCAAGTAATGTGTGCTGGTTGTTTAGACGTGTTATGACTTGTTTCTAAACTCATCTTTTATTTCCCTCCTTCCAGCATGTGGGTCAGTTTTTAGTCTCACTCGTCCGTCTATTATTATTTTGGTAATATTGGAGCACATATATAACATGTATTTACACGTATCCCAAATTTCGGAAATTCCGAACAACTGAAAAATTGTGTCAAAAAAAGTAGGAAATGATCTGCCTGTCAACTCAGTTTGCGCCATGAGCATAACCACCTCAACCGACCAGTGCATATCATTGGACACATAACACGAATTCCAGAATTATGCATAAACCAGTCACACTATTCGCCATTTGGTTTAAACTGAAGGTATTTCCAGACTAGTGATGCGGTCAGCAGGTTTGCAAATGTATATATGTACATATTTATTTATATGCAGTGAATACATATAAAGTCAAGCTTCTCTTAATACAAAATTAATTACAATTACATTTACATTATGTGAGACGATAACATATGCAAATTCAATTAAGGGCCCGGGGGAAGATTTACTTTCGAAAATTGATTTTATGTTAGCAACAATAATTGCTAGGAATCTAAGATTATTTATCACTCCATAAAGTTACGACCACGATTAATTGACACGGTTTCTATGGTACGTCCAAAAGCTTTTGTTTGATCACTTTTCCCTCAAGTTTTTGAAAAAAGTTGTTTTCTTTTGTTCCATGGATACTCAAAATGCAATTCATGCCATCAATTTTGCAATTCTAAGCCAATTTGTGCTTACTTTATGACCAGATATCTCCACTGCGCAAGAGGGCACATTGTCAAAAAAAAAGTTAGTAAAACCTAAAGATATAACTAACAAATTAAACATAATTTGAAAAATGTGCCCTCTTGCGCATTGCTGAATTTTATGATCAAAGTTGACATGATTTCTAAGCAACTTCCCCCGGGCCCTTAATGTACAGTCTGTTATGCACTCAAAGTATGATTCTTCAATTATTTATTCTGCAAATTATTGATATCTTATAAAAGTACCTTATATGTACACATGTACTTGCATTTGTTTGTCATATTCCTCAGTACATAATATTCGAATGTACTGCATGAGAACATTTATTTTCCAAGTGCACAACAGTCTGCAAAAACAAGTTGGGTTTATCCACCTTGAAGAAAATAATAAATTTCGTCTGAATATTGGAAAACTGGAATAATAAGTAATTGCATAAATACATAAGAGTACACACAAGAATAAAAAACGGGGCATCAAAGCAGTTATTAACTGACTTTATTTATTCGCCCATCTCATCCACCGTCCTTCTGTCGTTTTATATGGATAAAAACCTTATACGTTAATTTTGTCACGACATCACTCAATGGGCAAGTTAAATTGAATTAGACAGCTGAAATGAATTTGATCAAATTAAACCCTTGAAGGAAATTCCTTTCCAGCCAATTGAGATGATGGGCTGGGCTGGTTTTGGCAATAAAGACTTCAATTTTATCCCTCATGTGCGTGACATATATTCCGATGGATTTTTATAAATTAAGTAGATGTCATTTTGTTTATTACATTTTTTCTCCTTTTCTCATCAAGAAGATGAAAACAGACGGCAGTCAATTAAATTAATAAATCTGATTTGACAGCATATGCGACGTACATAGCTGCAAAGACATACTAATAATGGGTTCCACCTAAAAACAATTTCAACCAATTTTTTTCATGGACCGTCACCTGGATTCGATACTCGGGAATTCTGAGCGAAATATCAACAACTTTGTGTCATCTGGGTCTTATGTACTTATTAAAACCAAAAGCAATGCATATTAATTATTTCCAAGCACAATTTAGTTGCATGTCTTGTAATTGAAGAGAAATGGGAAAAAATGCAATTTATTAGCTTTGAGTTTTGCATTTACCTCAAAAACTACTTTGCAATTAGACACAACTAAAGTGTAGCTCGACACAATAAAGGTGAGACCGCTCTTGACGTACATATGCTGCTGCTGGATACTTGACTCGATTGTCTGTGTGTGTTGGACGTAATGTAGGTGGTAAGAAAACAAAGCATCTGCCGTTGATATTGCTTACACCACTAATTAATTTAACGAGACAGCCACCATAACGGCAGCAATTAGACGTCCATTTAGCCCTTTGCATGATGAGATTACACAGCCTGGCTTGGCCAATCCTCCGTACACGGTATTAAATTAAAACTGCAAATGTTTTCGGCAAGTGAAAGAGCTGCCGTCGAGACTTGTCGTTGGGTTGGTTGGTTGGCTCAAGAAGGTGGTTATTACAGCGTTATTACGAGGAACTTGTAAACAGATACATACGAAGCAGATGTAATGGAGAACGAGCTGAAAGAGTCCGGTCTCAGGCATGCAGGGCGAGATCCATTAAATTAGCGATAACAAGATAGTTTGCTAATTACTACCTTGAGCTCCTTGAGCCCCGAAAGATATGAATGAACCTGTCTGCCTAATAACTGTCTCTCTTCATCACGCTTTATTTGCTCGTTGCACTACCACTGACGAAACTTGGACAAACATCGTGATTTTTGCTCGTAAAATAAAAATTTATTAACCATGCAAAGAAGAAGAAAATGGAATCAGAATCATGGTGAGATTTCATTCTTAAATTCAGGATCCTTGTTAATATTTACTTGCTGCTAAGCTCTGAAAGTACACACACTCTGCTTAATGGCATCGTATAATAACAATGCAAAAAAACACATATTCGTTATTTTTCCTCCATTGTTTTAGTCTCATTCAAATGTGTTTCTTCTCAGATTCATATTCCAATGGAACAATTCCAAGCTGCTGCTGGTACATATTTAACTTGTGTATTTGGCATTATTCACAATTAATGTTGGTTGAAAATATGCTTTTATCCGATTTTCTGTACACTTGCTATTAATTACACACGTACATGTGTATGAAAGGATAGAAAATCTGGAAAAAAACAATACTTGCGGGTTGTTTCTAGTTTTATTACATTTTAATTATATGTCTGAACCGGCCAAAGAAACTTTACCGTGATGTGATCTGGCAGTCGTCGTAGCAAAGGGCAAATTTACAATTCTCAAACGCCGAACTCCCATCCAGTTCAGATATCAGTATCAGTCATCGTATAATGATTCACTTGAAGGCAAGTTTTTGTTCTAAATAATGCATAGCTTTGTATGTATAATACTTTTAGTGTTATTATTCTTTGGTACCACTAATTGCAGTTTTTCAACTTTAACTGTTCCTCTTCTCTCCTCCATGTCGTGCGAGCCAAAATACTTGAACATTTCAACATTAAAAACAAATCTGATACTGGTTAATACCACCTTGTAATAAAAATGTTTGGTGTAATTGTTGTTTAGACTCGAGAGATGAAATATACGTACAAACATCCTCAACCAACCCCCTCAGATCTCAGTCGTACATAAATACATACGTATATACTTAACAGGCATACAGACACTTCAAACTCATGTGGGGAGTAATTGTAATTGGGAGAGAGAAAGAGAAACACCAACAATCCTTTTTTGTACCCCTTGTTGTAAGATAACTATTGACACATGTATTTTAATACCTTTTAACAAATCACATGACTCGAGTGAAAACTTCCTCTCTCGTCCTGCTGTACTCCATTACAATCAAAATAATCGAAATAATAACCATGAGCTGCACAGTGCTTGGGTAGTTTCCAAGAATAGGTCAAAACAACCAGCAGACGTAGAAATTAAAGCTCTGAATCAAATGTGCTACATGTACATATGTACAATACATACGCTTACTCACTTGTGAAAATAGGGTGTTGGTTGGATGAGAAATGGTTGTATGCATGTAAGCCTTAAGCGTGTATTTTGTACACAAGTCCACTAGTGGTGGTTTGACTTTGATAGTTTAGATAATATGGACATGTCGGATCGTCATCAAGTCGAGCCAGGTCTTTCTTCGGTTGATGCTAATGTGTTTGGAATCAAGGAAGTTTTTTGAGCTCTTGAGAAGTGAAGAGGAGATGGATTGGTTTGGCGAGAGAAGGAGACTTGGGGGGATACTTTCTCAAACATTAAGACGCTTTAATTACGTTATAATCGTTGGTCTGTAACCTCAGCTAAGCTAAGGAGAGAGAGGAAAGAAGTCGTTTTTATTCCTCATCCTAATTACAAGCATGAAGTAAAAGATAATCATATATAATTGCTAACCGTCGCCGCAGTAAACCTAGAGGCCAGATGTATATTGTAACATCCAATTTTGATCATGAGTTTTTAAACAACACTTCTCCACTCCAAAACTTCAACATCTCTCACCTTGCACTCACTTGCATGCGCTTTGTTTGTACGTATGCGTCCGTTTCAGTCTCCACGTCCCACCAGATCTGACAAATAAAGCACGCCATGTTCATCTCGAGGAATGTCGATCCATCGTAGCAAATAATTCAAAATTTCGATACCTCTTCAGACGAAACTTTAATGTGTATTTATGTATCTTGTCGTGTCGGGCAGTGTGACAATTCAGGCACAAAATGTAATCTCTCTTATGCTGCATGGATTGTGGATATACGTTGGGTACCGTTGTTATAGTCGTACATTTTGCCGAGTGCTTCATTTTTAGTTGTAGCTGGATTGCATTTATAGACTGCCCTGCTCTTTACTAATTACAGGACAAACTAGAGCAATAATTAGCCTCATTATGTCCGTCTGCCTACCTATGTATGTTGCCGGCGGATAGCTTGCGTGGGTTTTGCTGCCACCCTAAATTCCTGTACGTATACGTGTATGCATGCAGTGCATAGCCCTCCTTTTTGTTCTTGTTGCGATACAATGAGTGCTCCACCGCTCCGGATGTTACTGTGCCCTTAAAAGTACTCTTTAATGTGTCATTTCTTTACATGACCGAGTCCTTCGTGTTTGACGTATATCCGTAAAAACAAAATTACGCTGCTGCTGATCTCCTCTTTTCTCATAAAGTTGGAGAAGAATTAATGCCATTGCAATGAAGCTGGAGGAGAGACATTAAGCAACGCGAGTCGTCTCATTTCCAGCCCAGGTAATTCTTCAGCTTGGAGTAAATTTTGAAAGATATATAATTAGGCAGAGGGCTAATTCTTTTGTAGTTTTGTTCTTTCCTTCCTACACTGCAGTCTGCATTGTTTGTGTCTTTCCTTGTAGAGCGGAGGCAGTTCCACGACCACTGTGTCAAAGGGAGGATAAGAGGAGAGAGGAAAATGAACAGCGTGTTTGGTAATTATGACATGGGATGACCCACGCATCTTGACGAGACATTGCGATCGAGGAAAGTGCCGGTCGTCGGTGGCTCGGCGCAAATGAGAGGAAACATTTTAAGGTACACAGTCTGAGCGTAATTTGGCATATGCGTGAGTGGTTTTCTTTTCTTTGTAAAAATGGACGGATGTGTGTTCTTTCGTGTATTTAGTGCTTCCACTAATGACGACAAACTAATGTTGCGTCTTACATTCACAAAACTAATATTCTAGCACCTGCGGGGAGCAATTAAGTTATTAAGAGCCCGCATTCTAGTAAATAAAATATATCATTCTCCCTGCGTCAGTTTTCTCTTTCCTTCTTCTGTATACACATTTTTTAAGAGTTGACTTAATTTTTTCATGATTCATACAGTTTTCTCATCAGTCAGTGCTCCCTGAATTTGATTGAATGGCTTCGAGGTAGTATTAAATAGATAAGTCCTTTCCTACTTAAACATGATTGCGAAAGAGAAAGAAAGAAAAAACTGGATGATCTGTAAGTGTGTATATGCGTCTCATGTTATTACGTATGTACGTATCTTACGTATTTATTATAGTCTACATAACTCACTTGGCTCAAATGGTATTATTGGAAAGAGTCAACAAAGGTGAAATCAGGAATAAATAAGACCGACAGAACTGAATCGATCCTTGAGCAATCTGCGACGACCAAGATAGTCGCATAGTGATCTATCTGATCTTCTAAAGAGTTTCACGAGCTGAGGACGTATCCCTACATATATTTTTAAATAACGTACCACCATGTCAAAAATCTATCTATTGGATAGGTTTCCTTTATTTGCTGTTTGTTTAATATCATGCATCCTTTCAGTTGTGATATCCAATTTCGGAAAAAGGTTTCAACTTCAATCATGAAGTCTCCTTGATGTATACCTACACTCTCGCCACCAGATAAAATACAGTCTTACTTTCCACGAAGCAAGATTTGGCACAAGCTCATCCTCCAACCAAACTCGTAAATATCTTTTATGACAAGCTTTTACATTTATGCACCGTTTATTTCATTTTACTACGATTATTCCATATCTGAATAAAGCCAAACTTTCCTGTGAATAATTTCTAACTCAATTAGTTAGTCTTTGAGTTGACGAGATTAAAACTAATTATTGTTTTGCTGCATATATTTACACGATGCATGATTATGGGAATAAATACTTTATCGCCAGGTACATTCGACACTTTATATTGACAAGTTGGTCGAATAACTATTTTAACGAGTGTGTGTATATATGGATGGAAAATATTGAGTGGGATGAAAAATTCAACATCCACGGATTATGAGGGGTTGAGTTGAGAGAAAGTCGAAATTGTACGACGAGATTCTTGTATGGAATATGTATGCCCGAATAGATGAAGTTTCTGTTATGCATTTTTAGGCCTATGGAAAAAGTGAAACCAACTTAAATCACCATTCCATATATGATCCCGTATTCACAACAGGTTCCAAACTGAAAGTTGAAACAGACAGGAAGGAAATTGAGACTTGTGTGATTCTGATTTGAAAATCAAATGTGGACTTCCTTATTAGGGACACAGCCTGTCTGGCTTGGCGAACATTTGTGACACGTATTTATATCAAAAAGTTTTTTGTCTTTGGAATTCATTTTAGATCTTTGGAATACTTCAGACATCGATTTCTTATAGGCGAATGGATTTTTCTAGAAAATCTGAGCAACTCGGAGGATAGACATTATGGTCATGCATAATTAATACAACTTCTGGCTGCAACTAGAATTTGTAAATCCTCACGACTGATTTACTTGAACAAAGTTACAACATTCTTATTCAGATTTATATTACTTGGACTACTCTGTTATTTGGGATGGTCAGTCGTTCATACATAAATATAGACTGGCAGTAGCACATTAAATGCTAATTGTGTTATTGAGTGCTACATACATTTACCATGTTTGTTGGAACGTATTTCCTGCCTTTAATGCATTCTCCTCTATTCAAAGAAGTTGTTTTTATTTTTGCACGTGCTTCATCCCTGCTTTTTGAGTTGCGAAAATGGTTTCTATTATAAGACCGCAGGCAAAGCAGTCGGTACATTCGATGATTGTCGCGGACTTTTGCTTTTCCTTTCTTTCACATCACATTACAGAGGGATAAATGTTGCCAAACTATGAAATAGATTTTCATGACTATAACGACACGAGGAGTAAAAGTAAGTAAAAGTAAGCAAGAAATCGCTTCCTCCAAGGTTTGAGAAAGGTAAATGCAAATGCATGTTCAATCCCGAAGCAGTGACTCCTACGCACACACAAGAGTAGGGCTGCTGCCACACAGCCTACATGCCCAAGAAGTAATCTTTCCTTGCCTTTCATGGGTGGATATTCAGCGTCTCTCCGTTTTGAAATATTCGGTCGGAATGCACACTGGTGTACATGCATGACACATATGTGATGCCAGAAATGTTGATGGGCTGCTACATGGTGGATTTGCTTAGATGAGAGTGAATTTCTTAAATTGGGGACTCTCTTCCACTTTCACCCTTCTATCAACCCGTCCCCACTTCAGCCTCCCCTTTTCCACCACTAGTTACTTACTTTCCCTTGGTCCTCGTCCTCTCTCGTCGTCTGCAAACTCAAAATTGTAAATTCGAGGAATAAAAAATTATTCCGCTGTTGGCTGGCTCCTGTCACCCTGAAACGGGAAGGAGAAAGCACATAATCGGCGGCGGCGGTGGTGGTGCTGATGGTGGTGGTCGGGAGAGAAAAGGAAAATCATTTATTCTTAAAGAAAAAAAATCTCGTGAACACTTGAATTCGATTTTGTTTACATAGAACAATAATGGAAACGCTCACAGCATAAATGGAATGGATATCTGATCAGGTCCACGGTATTGACAAACTCTATTTTTAATTCAAAAACCGTCGGCATGAAGGATAGTGCACAAGTAAATTGAATGCTACTTAACAAAATTAATAGGAAATTCGGAGGAAACCGGGTCGTCGTCTGGGTATAAGGATGAAAAAAAGAAGGGAAAGTCAAACAGTGCAGTCGTGTCCCAACCAAATTAACATTGACTATTGTATCAGCCAACGTCGTAAGTATGTGCTACTGACTTTCCAGCCGAGGAGATAATACCTGGGGACGAGTAGATTGTGATTGCATTTTTACCCATAAGGCATTGTAAAATAGAGGACAATTTGATTCAGTGTGCTTCTCCTCCATTTTTACCGAAAGGAGAATTTATGTGGACTGTCTTAATTGATTGATTTTGTTTTGAGAGGATTCCTTTCCTTTCCTGTTTGCTTTGTTTCTACTTAAACGAAAACCACTACCGTCTTGATTCCCTCGCTGGGAATTAATTTCGTAATGCTTACCTTCCTTCCCGTTTTGTATTAAGTTAACTCTGTAATTTAATTTACAACTACATTTGTCCTACGACACAACCAAACGATTGTAACAGATATGTAATAGTAAGCTTATTTGGAGGGACCCTACTTTAGGGACTCCTTCCTGACGCAACACATCTTAATAAATAAACTTGAAGAATTCAGTTAAAGATAACATTTACAATAGGCTTATGTATTTATGCATACAAACAATTTTCAAAATTTTTCATGGATAACAATCAAACTATTCAAAACAGAGCACATCAAGCTTCACGTCGGAAACCTATTGGTGTGTTTGTTTCGTGAAAAAAAGTGGAGAATCAGTTGATCTTGATGAGAAAATCTTCACAAAAGAATTTCAATTTCAATATAATTTGAGATTTCAAGATGATTCCTTCACTCACTAGTCAGAGGATCTCAAGAGCAGGGAGCAGGGTGATGTTTACCCAGTTTGTCCTCGTCGTCGAGTATGCATATATCGGCTTCCTCTCCTTTGATCGCATGTTTTATATTGCATTTTTCCAGGGACAGAAGAGTGTCTTGCAGAAGAGGAGAAAGAAAGGGTGCGAGATAGACAAAGGGCAATTTGGATTTGAATCTGCATAGTCAACAGCCATCCGCGTGGGCTGAGTCACTATGCTACAGAAAGAGAGAGCCATACTAACTAACTCTCTGCCTGGAGAAAGGACATACGTACGAACATGCACCGAAAACCATCACTCTGCCCACCGTTGCGTTGTTGGTTGGTACACCAAATATCAATTTGCATCCCATTTCACACATAAGACTCGTAGTGTGGATGTATGTGCACGTATGTATGCGAATGTTTGTGTGGCTATCAGATCTATTTCTCTAGTCTTTCTCCACACGCCCCTCATTGTCGCCCTTCATGTCTTGACAACAAAGAAATGAGACTCCAGATGATCAGATTTGTGGATCAAACGAAATATTTACTTTGTGGACATGAATCATTGTGAGGATTTTATTTTTGCAGCTCACTGGGTTCTAAAAAAATGGATTAATCAAACCAAGTTGGAATTATGTACATATTTGAGAGAACCCAGCATCCCAAAGATTCCAGTACAATGCAAATTACAAGTTGTTGCACGGCGGGTTTTGAGCAAGGAACAGTAATGCTGATCGTGGCTTGGAGGCGAATACATGGAGATGCAATTATTAAATTACACGTACGCGCATGAAGGCTTAATTTCTCAAGAGTCCATCTCGCTCGGCCCGGTTCAATATGACGATGGAATGAGAAACACTCACTCTTTGGTAATCTTAAATTAGATGGCTAGGATTTTAAGTGGTCTCTCAACTCATCAATAATAACGTGGGAAAGAGTGTCCAGATTTTGGATGACTTTCATCCATCTCACAAACTTCATCTTCTCCTTTGGTGCATCGAGCTATGCATGTATGAAGTTGGTGTCTTGAAACTTAACATTATGTACATATTCTCCGAGTTATTATTGCTACATTCATTTGTTTAGTCACAAATTACAGAATCACTGAATTTGGACTATTAAAATTGTCAATAAAATCATAATTCTCCTTGTTTTAAGTATGAATTTTATAAATTGATGCTAATTCTGTGTGAATGTTCCAGAAACGTCAAGTCGTGGTTGGACAGGGAAAAAATTCATAGGAATTAAAAATGGTCGTATGTAGCTGATGAGAGATGAAGAGGTTTATTCTATATGTAAGCCTCGGTTTGGGTGAGTTTGTTAGTGCACAGGGAGTGGGATGAATTGTGTTGAATGTGATTATCTAAACCCACTAACGCCACGTAATTATGAATGAGAATGGAGTCTTAAAAGGATTATTATTATGATTTCCTTCAAGACTCCAAGAACCAAAGTTGCCAAATCATCTTCTGTCTCCTTTTCCACTAATCACAGTCAGAATGAAAATAAAAATAATTCGAGCTTCAAATACATAATCAGACAGACCAAGCAAGCCTCTGTCTCATCATCATTTTATTTCAGACTATGCCCTCCGTTATTATTATTATCTCGTTCCCATTACTTTGCACGGGCTATTTAGACGCACGTAAGAAAGTACAAGTCAGGAGTCACCCTGCTTTACTTAGCTCTCCCGCATTATAACAATTACAATTAAAAATACAATCGTCATCTTCTATCCTTCGTTACGAGATAAAAGCCAACTCGGTCCAAATAGTCCACCCAGCACAATATGCGTAAGAATAATAAATAGTTCACAACAATTATGACTCTCCAATTGTGTTGGAAGCCTCCTTACTTTTAATATTACTTATCCTACGAGGTCTACAATAAGTGGATCCATTTTAACTTTTTTTTTTCATCTCACTATACCATCTCATAAGTCAGTACACCTATGTCTCACGTTCAGAGCTCTGTTATTACTTATGGACGTTGTTTTGTCCAAGTGTGTTTTTCTCTTGTGCATTGCGAGACACCATTTTACCCCCCAATGCTACACTTAAATAGATTCTTAATTTCTTAATAAGTAATTCTTCCCTTGTTTCCTTTTGTCATTATTCAAAATCAATAGAAACTGATGCTTCATGCGATGATGACTTTTAATTTAATTTAAATCTGATTTAAAGAGATCTTGCGGAAAAAATTATGCAAAACGCTCAATAAATAACGTGCTAAGGTAAAAACGCTTAAACATTTTGACTGTGCGCTTTGTTTCATTCTCATATTGTGACACATAACTTTTTGCATGAAACTAAACGGCAAAGCAGGCTTCACAATGATGCCGTTGGTTTCATATACTCTCATTGTTCCCAAGCTCACACACACTCACATTGCATTGAACTGGTTCTTGGATTACGCAATGTGGCCTCTCGTTGGCGGGATTCATCCTGCCGGCTGTCTTTTGCTCACCAAATTAACAAAATGTTAAATGTGATTCTTTCAAGTTTTCGTACATTTTCTAGTTAACGACTCGCATAAGGTAAGGTTAACACTATTACAATAATTCGTGGCTGCTTTGTGAGTTTTTTGAACCTAATTAATACTGATAGGTAACCTGCAATGTAATTGAATGTGGTTGCAGGATACTGTAGTCAAGGATTGCATGTCGTGTCGTGCTCTCTCCGAGATTTATGTGACTTGTCGTGTCTCACCTTTCCCAACAAGTTTCCAACGCTGCTGCCTTGTGGTTACATTATTATCATCTTCTCACTACTACAATGTTCCGTCCAAGGGGAGGACTGGCCAAAGTTCTGTATGAAAAGATTCACACGGATGCTCGGCTCCAAGCGATGGATAAGGACCAAGTTAGAAATTTAGTACTTAATAAACTATCAATCTAGTAGATATTAAATGTTTTTCGTGGGTAGTTTGGTTGGGTTTATTACGTGAAGTAGATGCTGAGTCTCATTCAACTACCATTCCACTTTTTAACGAGTCTTTTAGACCATGCGGACTATTAAAACATTTCCACTCTCCTCCCACTTGATAATTGCTTCTAGCTTGCATGTTTATTTAATGATTTTGCAGAGTTGTGGTTGGTTGATGAGAAGGAGGTGGTTAGTGTTTTGCTTAATGAGTCTTTTCATTCAGTCCATAATAGTCGTCCCATTTTTTCGTGCATGTTGTTGCCTATACTCATTATTAGCTCATTATTATTTCATTCGCACTCTCCCTCTCTCTCTCATACGAAGAGAGTTTTTGTGCAATATTTCCCAAGTATGGTAGCTCATGAATCATTATTATCCTTTAATTTACTCGTGATGATAGTCACAGGGGTAAGCATGGGCAGTGGGAAGAAGGATGGAATTACCGCAAAAGTTGGCATGACATGTCTCTCTCTCTCTCGTCATAATTATGATATAGGCGACCACGCAAATCAGAAAATGACATTGGACCAAGTTTTCAGTTTGAAGGGAGGTGAGCTGTAATTGGTACGTTAATCATTAATAGTGGCACCCACCCAGCAGACCAGACCAGCAGCGCAGGCATGCCAGGTCGTCGAAAAAGTCTGTTCTGTTCCCTGCTCATTACTGAATTGAATTTAATAGCGGTGTGCAGTTGTGTTCGACCTCTTCTGTGTATTTAACTCGGCATTAGCAACTTTTAGTCGACTGCATCGGGTCGTACCACCACACACCAACTAATAAAACTTTGAATTCAATTCGCTTTTCTCACATGCATGCAAAAGAGAGAAGAATATGAGAGGGAGGCGAGCTGAGTTTGTCATGCAATCCTTCCGGAGCATTTAATAAGTGGTTTAATGGAAATGAAATTTTTCAAAGGACTAAATTAGTAGGAAATAGCCTTCCGCAAAATTATACACTTTGCCTACCAGCAAAAACAGCAAAGACAACACAACTGACGACACGAGAGACATGTGCTCACAATTCCAATTGTTTATTAATGAAAACGCCATCCTACGTATGTGATGGAAGGCCTTGCTTCGTCTCATAACATGACATTCTACTTCTAAATTTAGTCTGCGGCAAAAATTTCTCATACAATAATTACTGTTTGATTGCTGGAGAGGATACAAATCATAACGCACATGAACCAATTCTACAGAGCAGTAATCTAAATTGTCGATTGTAAGTATGTTATATGGTATAGAAGTGGATGGGTTTGTACCTCTTTCTTGTGGTATTCTCATTTTCTCATGAGTGCGTGAATTAATCACGCAAACGATTTCAGAAGACTGAGCAAACACCCACGACTCGGATTCGTTGTCTTTGTTTTGTTTGTTGGCCCCACCCACAACAACTGGGCTATTTTCAATACAACTGGCTGTAATTACCAACCGGTGAAAAATAAGTGCATGATGGTTTCATTTCATTTTCATAGTCCGGTAAAGGAGGAGGTGGGTATTGCGAAACACGCAATATGCCTGCTTCTGTATTTATGTATTTACGTATGTATTATGCACTTATTAAATACTAGTTCGAGACGAATAAATGTTTCAACTTAATGAATCCGTCTAGTACATTTGTACCTGGTCCTTGAGTTCCCCCACATTTTCTAAATAATTGGAATACGATAGGTTTTTTATGCGCTCTAACTTGGTTTGTCACGAGGAGTTATTATTGTACACCCGTTGATTGAATTATTATGCATCGTTTTTCCGCTCTATGCATACGCAATTGAAATTGGTTCAAGATAGATTAAGCTAAAAATTATATATATATATGACAATTACCTATGCATATATTATGCATGCATACTTAGGTTTCCTTCCTCGTGGGCATGGGCTTAAATATTACAGTGGTGGCGATGGTGGTGGTGGACTCGGAGTTGTGAGCATCATTGATTACATAATAATAATTTGAGATGGACTATGTAATTTTGCGTCTTGTACATGGGTAATCCTCCATATTGATTTGGGCGAATAAGTACACCGTTGCCACGAAATGAGTATCATTATGAGTTTCACAACTCTGGATTGGAAGGAACTAATAAAAGACCACCCGCATGAAGAAGTAATGCACTTATTTAAATGAGTTTGCATTTCGGAAATTAGAAAAATTAATAGTCTTCCGAATTTCCGTCCAGCATCTAAATAAACGCACAACTCGTAAATCCTCATTTTATTTAGTCCCGAGTATAGTTCTTTCTTCATTTCGTGGAGATCTTGGACACCACCGCACGCCTTGTGCTATTAACGTCCATTGCATGTGCCCTGTTGGGAGTAATTTCTGAGCAATTTGGGATATTACTCAAGATTTCATCTCCTTTCCAAACATTATTAAAATTTCTCGAGTCTCGTGCGATGTTTTCGTCCGAATGTGATGAAATGATATAAACTCCTCTTGGCCGCAGCCACATACATTCGTACTCACGTATGCGCATATGTAGTGCAAGGGGCCAAATTATAAAGATAAGATAACGTTAATGGGCTTTTGGAATGAAAGCAGGAATGCCTCAAGAAACGCTTTACTTTATTAATGCCAGAGGTAAATGGGAATTTAATAAGAGAATGAATGTGAAATTATTTGTAGAAAATGTAATAAAATCCGAAGGGTGTGTTTAATGGCTGAAACGGTTTGTTATTGCACACGTAAATGGTAGTTCTAGTACTCGGGGGCAGCCTATTGCGTTCACAAAACTCCGACAAAACTTCTTATTTGGAGCAGTTCAATCAGGGACTCGTAATGTGTAATGTGTTACAAGTATGCAATAAGGTATTTACGCACGAAGAGTAGGCTGCTATCTAGCTGTACATACACATTCCTTGATGAAGAAAGGCTGATGAATAAAATGATGTGAAGTAGTCATGCTATTTCTTCCCCTTCTTTCTCCTTCTTTCTTTCTTTCTTCACTGGGCGAACGCGATTAATAAATTAAATATGAGATTAGCCATAATCTATGACTCTTAATGCTGAAACATTGGGACAGAATCTAGAACTTTGAGAAATGTGAGTCCTCACTCAAATTAATACGAGTTATGCCATTAGTCAATTAAATAAATTTAGCAGGGCGTGTCATACATACATATTTCCAGGCTCAACTAAAGTAGGAAAAGTTCTAGCTCAGAGGGTTAGAGAGGTACCATTTTTCGTTGAATTTCTCGTCCTTAAAATTGGCAACAAATGTTGAGTATATGACTTATTGGTGTCTTTGGATGTGAGTATGAGCCCTTTGGTAAGGGGCAATCGATCAGTTTCGTGCACTCATCATTAATTTATTTCCCCCATCTATGTTTTACTCGTAATGACAAAAGTTGTAAAATGGGTGCATGTACGTATGTGTAGTAAGTATATCGTCGTTGAAGCTGCCAAAAGGGCCTTCTCCATTTTATGTCAATTAACACAAAATGGAGAAGGCCCTTTTGGCAGCTTCAACGACGATATGCGTATGCTATGTAAGGAACAAGTCAAGCATTGATTTGTTTCATTCGCTCGGCAAGGAGTTTACAGGATAATCCATCAATTAAACTTGATAGGTACGTAGTCGGGCAAAATGAAAGGGGTAAACAATGTACAAAATCTTTTGGAGGAATTCGTGTGGAGCATGTGTATCACCTTTATTGTGTTCCCGATTGCTTATTAGAACAGTTATTGCTTCCTATAAGATTTTTTTACCTTCATTAAATGAAAATTAAGAGTGACGTGATTAAAGTTATGTAATGCACGACCTGATTAATACGTAAGAGCGTCTAAAATTTCTCAGCTCAATTCCTACAATAACTATGCAATCTATACAAGATTTGTGTGGAAATCCCGTTGATAATTCACAAAGGGTGGGGTGTGATTGATCTGCAGAGAATTTGTGGGGTACCTCGCCATCAATCAATCATTTCGACGACGGAGGAAGGACCCGACCCGAGTCCTGGTCGTTGTGGTTGCTTTCTTCGTCGGAGGTGGCTGCAATGCAACCACAACACCGAGCCGCCGGATGGCTTATCATCGGCCGTGTCTGTCTATAAACTTTTGTGGTGGTGTTGGCGATGATGTTGTGTTGCTGCGGAATACCATTATTACTTTTTTTATACTCGATCCATGTTCTTTCTTATTACTTCGTTTCATTCGCAGCCTAATGACTTGTCTGAAGTGACGTGTCATGTATGCGTATGTAGTTTCCATATTGTGTGAGAGTGGTGAGCAAACCATGATTTACCTTTGTTAAGATGACAGTGCTTCCAAGATTTGATTGGAAACAAGCCCAACTTACCCGCATCTCCAACTGCGTTTGTGCATGTTGTGTGTGTGTGTGTGGATATACAACTATTGTGCCATCCATTATTATTCGTTAAGTAAGCAAGGTGCTGCTGGAGGATGAAGAAAGCACCGCAACTGAGAGATGAGAAAAGTTGAATTTATATGAAAAATAGGAGCTGTGCTGGGGGGAATAAGTCCACATACACACACACACATACTCACTTAGAGAGAAACTTGTGGTGGTGGTGGTGGTGTTACCGGGATAGTGTTTGAATAGGAAAATATTGTTCCTTCATCTTTTTTAGTTGAAAGTGGCATCACATCGCATCTGCTTGGGTTCCGATCAAGAAGGATGGAAAGTGGGCTTAGGAAAAATCGGTGAAAGAAAGAAAATTGGATGAAAGCATTGCATAGTAATAGCAAGTAAGTAGTGCTGGGAGAGAGCAATGTTGGTCTGGTTTGCTGCTACATGTACACACACTGTCGAGCAATGCTGTTGAATTTGTCTTGATAGCTCCCTAAAAGTATGGAAGCACAGATGAATGTGTGTGCTCACGGTATGGCGGGGGCTGCTGGGCTAAAATGTACGTATGAATTGGGACGGAATGAAAGTGAAAGAAGCGTCAACGTCATGGAATATTGTCCCTCTTTTTATATATTCACTCTCCTTCCCGTCCGCAGTCAACTCTTTCTTAGCACTTTGCTCTCTGTCGATCTAAATGCATCTCACTGCGTAATCTACCTTTTCCATTCCCTTCAATCCACAGATTTTCCTCACCCCATCAATCTATATTCTCAGACCCAAATGTACATGAGCAGTTTCAGATGGAATTTTAAAGTTGACGATTTCTCATCTTTCTCTTCTTCGTTTCACCAAATTCCGGACTCCCTTCCAAAACTTCCTTACTCATTTCCACCTTTTTACTAAAAACGAATAGATGTATAACTAATATGTATGCCCAATATTGACAGCAGGTCAAGTCCCCAGAAGAAGACAAATGAGTAGCTTATGGTAAAGTACATTTGCATAATATGCGTGTAAGTGTGTGGCGGGCATTGAATGTTTCTCTTCAAATGCTTACTCGGAGGACAATGGTTGTTTTTTATTAATTTTAAATGACAAGATGAATGAGGTTTGCCAACCCCGCAGTTATTATTTGTATTATAAAATATTTTCCGAAATCAAACACTGGCTGCCAAAGCGGAGGATGAGTTGATTATTTGTTGTGTGTGCTGCGATGTTGGAGATTAGCAGAAAGATCAAGAGAGAGAGAGAGGGGTTTGGATTAAGAACAAAGGCCGGAGGGCCCATTTATGGATGAGCAGGGAAGATGAATGGAATAATGAGCGAGGATTGATGGTTAGGTGGGATATACAGATCATGACTGAAAAAAGTTGGATGGACGACCCAGCAGGATTTTATTGAGCTATCGTTGATATGCTAATGATCTCTACAAAGTTAATTGATGCGAGATGGGAGTATAATTGCTGGTAGAGAGAACAACGTGAAGGTCAAAATGATAGGAATGACGCGTTGTTACTAGGTTTTCATGACCATATAATTATTATCTCAGGATTATTTTTAAGTGCAATTAGAGTTTTTGTGTGATACTGCTTTATGTTGGCCATTGGCCATTCTCTCTCGAGGGTAAAAACCTGAATCCCACTTGGAACACACTGCGAGATGAAGAAGAAGGAAGGATGAACGAACTTGGAGAACAAATCTCAAGTCATAGTCCGTCATTACAGCAACAACACATTTTGCCTGCTAAAAGGCAAGAGGAGCCACAAGCGAGAGATGGGAAGATGGGAAGATGGATGGATGGATGTGAATGTGCTCTATGATTTTTGTGGATTAAGATCCCTCGTAGATTGCTCATTATGAGCTTGGGCACATTGTTCATCGTCCTCCTGCAGAAATTAACGCTGAAAGTGATGAAGTTTTGCTCATACGATACGATTGACGGTTGATTTACTCTCTGCTGCTTTTCTCACTTGCATTACGTGTTAATACCACATCTCGCCATAATTGTATAAATTAGACATGGGAACAAAAAATGTTTTTAATTTCTTTTGCATTGCGTCTTTGGATCCGAGTCTGATGAGACTGGTGCCTCTTGTACTCAGCCGTAACGCGCAAGTAGACAGTATATGTAACTTTTTGTTATTGCTCTCCCAATAATTAGCACCAACCTTTGTATGATTGCATTCTCCTCATTTTCAGCCTTCTTGTTCTTCTACTGAACAATTCGTGAAGCCGCTTCCGCTTAATCTGTTTCCTAACAGTGTATATAATTTTCCCTGCATCTATTATGGAATCAAGTACGGTCTACCTGTGTACGTACATGTGGATGTACATGCATACGTAATACAGTGGCCAAACGATGAAAATCCGCTTTTTGTCCCTATGTCTGATGCATTGTCTTCTCCTGACTCATTTTGAAATAATTACAGGAACAAATTGACAAGCCAATTCACTCTCCCGTGAATCTGAGATGGATAGAGTGGAGACAGACAGTTTCAATTAATAACTTCATGCACTAATTTGAGTCTCCTAGCTTTTTAACGCGTGATTCTTTTTTGTTCAAGTTTCACATCACAGTTAGGAAATCAAGGACCAAGTTCATACTGACAATATACTTATCTATTGGGCTTCATGTGAAAATTAAAATATTCATACTATAATGATTTCAAAGTATTTCATAATTTTCGTAGTAATCTTACTAAAATGGATAACCTGAATAATTATTCGTCCAATTCGTCTTTTATACCTGCATCTACTTCAATACAAAACCACACAAGTAAAATAGTTCAAAATTGACAGGAAATTGAAAAGTACATCATGGTTTTACAAGTTTTACAACATTGTGTCGCATGGCTTCTCTATTCTTCTGTTATTTTCCTCACAAATTTTCGCATTGTTCCACTAATGCAGTACACATTATTGTAATTACGTGGTAGAACTCAACACGCAACTTTTTCAAAACTATTCCATGCCACGGCTTATAGTCTAAAAATTATTTCTAACAAAATAAAGTCTATAAGGATAATTATTATGTACCAATTGCCACTCTCCAGTGCATGCAGATCTCGTGTCATGTGCATGGCTTTATTATTTGCGAGTCCACTCGAACTGTTTGACTTTAAATACTTCTAATTTGACTGTGATGTGATGATATGATTGGGCAAATATATTTTTTTAGTGGTACTGTATTGATGACGCTAAGATGAAGAACATTTCTGAAGAAAATTGGAGAAAATTTCTGCCTTTGGAGTTGGATGACAGCACACAAGCATTTATAGACACATGCCACGAGAACTCTGACAACACACTTTGGCAACTATGGCTCACGCTAACAAGTTCCATCTTATCCTGGTTCCTTGCTCCAACATCAATTAATGGGTAAGTCGCGTTTTATTTTTATTCCTAAAACAATATTTGTGATTTATAATTAAGTGTCGACAATTGGATTTATATAGCGGAATTATGTATGTATCGACTAGCCACTAGTGATGAGTGCAAACCTTGCACCTATTTACATGCATAAATAGTATTTATGTAAGCAAATTCATATTCCGACCTCCTGACCTTTCTTCAGGAGTGCTTGTGACAATACATAATATGCAAATAACGATGTGCATTTTTATATTTGCATGCGTATGTATGTAGATACACATGCAGCTGGAATATGTTCCGGTTGAGTAGAGTAAAAGTAAGCACCTTGTGCTCTATGGTTGCATTCAATTTTCTGAATTTTTCCATACATGCTGCTCCCTTGGCTGATGGGTGTGAGAGAAGGATGAAAACGTATGGCAGAATTTTTGTTCTGGTGAGACACGAATATTCGATTACAGGGTTTTAAGGCTCATGGCATGCTTTCAAGGCAGAATGATTTTTCAATAAACACGCTTGAGTTCGTCGTGAGTTCGTTGATTTTCAACTGAAAGGGCAGAGAGAAAGTTAAAAGCTTGAACTGAACATCCCCGTCCTCACTGAATACGTACATTGAAATCAAAAGCTACTTCCTCCCAATGTCTGCGCCTACCTTTTCAAACTTTAAATCCGTCGCTAAAGCTGGTGAGTTGCAAATGGCGTCATGGGACATCAGACATCATCACTCTGTCGCTCCTCACACGTTGATAATATTTCTTCCTTTTGCCACTACTTTGAAACATCTAAACATATCTAAAACTGGGGTCTCGTTAAGCAGACGGTACATCCCATGAAAGTAAGCAAGCAACTGGACTGTGTATGAATTTGCTCCCCGTCTTGGCAGCAACTTTTCTATTATCATAGCACACCCATGAAAAAATTTGCAGAACTGTCGCTTGATTCCATGCATCGTACTTTTCTCCGGTTGATCTCAAATCCAATCTAAAGGAGACTTTATTGGAAAGCAAGCACTACATGTGCTGTGTCAAGTATATTTTGGAGTTGTGCATAACAGGGCATTAAAAGTTTTCTTGCCTTTGGATTAGAGTTGTGAGACCAACTTTTCAGGATTTTGAGTGCTGTTCGTAAATAACATGTTGAGTAAATAATATGTGCTCTATGAAAAATAATAATAATAAATCACTTGTTCATGCATACATATTTGATTATGCCATTAAGTAGCTCGAGTGTACAACAAACTTGAGACGACAGGCTATAATTTCTGGTTCAATGAAAGTAATTTGTTGCCATACTTGAATAAATTCACCCCGCTGCACGCTTTTACACAGTCTCCGCTTGAAATCCGTAATTGTGAATTAATTGAGATGTCAGTATTTATATGCGAGTTCAGGCCCCTACAAAAAGCAAGAGTTTCGATGGCGAAAAGTTGACTTATGCAGTAATTTATAATCAATGTTCTGGTAATTTATTGGAAATAAAGTCATGCACGAGGCGTAATGAGTTTGGAGGAGAAGGAGAAAAGACCTGGTGGTGGGTGAGGCTGTCGGGTAGAGTTGGTGCTTGACGTTGATTAGTGGTATTGTTTTATGACGCGGCTTGATTTACAACTCTGCCACTTGTTCCTTGGATATTCACTCTAATTGCTATGAATTTTATGGATCTTTTGATACCTCATTGGGTTCACCAATTTTGGCTGGATTCGGAAAATCAGAGGCATTTTTCTTAGCAGGTCATATGCACGCGTTGCAGGTTGAAAGGAATAATGCAATACTCGGAATTTGAAACTACCATAAACAATCTGTAGGAATCGTGCTTCTTACGGATTGGGTCGTGATGTGGGTTTGCATATGTAATGGGATTGGAAGACGAGTGTGAATTGAACTTGTGCATCAGTAGCTATACATACATACATTAGTGTCCTTAGAGGATGATCTAGTCTGTATTTTCATCCTTCAAACTTTGTCCCTGTGATTAATTGATCCGTAATGAAAGTTGCCATATATTTGGGCAGTATTTTTCTATTATACAATTTTCTGAATTTAAGACTGATCCTCCCTCTCAGCCAATATTCAATTGCATGGGACGAAAAATAAAAAATGAGGATTTTATTTTATGACCCGAGTGTAATAACGTATACCTGCATATGCATGCAAATGTACATACTACATATGTAGATTTGTTGTATAATTATGAAACCTTGTGTTGCAGACAGAAGACCAAATGACCACAGTGAATGGCTTGTTTTGTCATTTTTGTCATTATGACATTTTACCAAATAATGAAAGGTAAATTAAAAATGAGAATGTGATTTGTCAGTGTCCATACAAGTTGAATAACCGTCAGAATGAAATTAATTCAGCTAAAGTTTAATAACTGACACGAGTGACATATACCGGGCGTGGCCATACCACCCTTTTCTGTTAAGCAAGGCGTTGCGTCAATTATCTTAACCAAGTCGAGAGTAATGGAATCAAATCTTGGGATGGACAGGACTTAGACAAAAAAATGAAGTCTTGCTTGTTGGTTTTAACTTTTCTCTAATTCTGACATTGACTGGCTGCCCTCCCTTAGATCTTCAAACTCTCATTAAGTAGGTGTCCGAATCAATTGTGTGTGAAGATTGAAGTCAGACGTTTTTACACTTCAATGGACCGTTTAGAAAATGTGAGTTCCCTGCGCATTTTTTTTCTCTCTCTCCGAGTCGCCTTGTTAGAAGTACTGGTGGATAATCTCTAAACCTCACAAACCATGTGGTTTCAAAGCATGCGTATGTGTGGATAAAAGGGAACTGGTAAATTTGTTTGTGAGCAAATTGCAGCACAAAATTAACAAAACAAATGAACGAGTTCAACTGTACAAATTTTCGGGAAGCCTGATAAAGTTATCAAAAGAAATGCATTATTCAAGTCGAGGAAAAATCAATCTTTTCTGGCTTTCGCCTCTTGACGACGAGTAGGATGTGTCAAGCCAAATTTCTTTCGCCAGTTAAGAACTACTTAAACTTAATCCTTTGCACTGATGGAAAACTTGTTTCATGTTCCTGCCTAATGGCTGCTAGATTATCCAACTGTTAACTCTTTCGGATCCCCTATATTTCAGTTGGAAAATAGATTTCGCCTCAATTCCTCCTAGTCAAACAAATCCCTTCCGTTTTTAACTTAACATTTTTTTTGCTTTCATAGGATTTTCTACCAATCTGAATCAATTCCAAAAGATGCCTTTCTCTAGATTTATTCTGTTGACATTTGTCTCTATATAACATTATTTTAACATTGGCGAAATATAGTCTGATTTTTTTAAATTTCATTGGCTGCTATTTTTTATCTCATCGAGTAAAGTTGTTACACACAGACATATTTAAAGCAACTCGTCGTTGGCGGTTTGAGGAGTAAATTTGTTGTAGTGCAGTTTTTCCGTGATAAATTTCAAATGCCGCGTCCTCATAATTAACGTCTGGGAAGAAGTTGTTTAATGAGCTTCAACAACATTTGTATACCTTTTCTTTCTCTTTCCAAAAACTGATGATGGAGGAGGATGTCTCTCTCTCTCTCGTGGAACTGCACGAATTCTCCAGTCCACTCACTCTATAATTTACGTCTCATTTTTCAAACGCGATCCTAGCTGCCCATTCATCAGCACGACTCTTGACAAAGAAATAAAAGAGACAAGACGCCAAAATAGAAGCAAATCCTGTCCAGCTCCCACTTGCCTCATAATCAGTGGCGTCTTCAAATCCCCAAGTTTTGTTTGTGTCATTCCAAGTAACAAGGACTTTCACATCATTATTTTGTCCATCTCTTCCTCCATCATCTCATGTTGTTAAGTTGAGACTCGTCTGGGCAATTAGTTTCTCGCAACATTTTCATCATAATAATTAGATAACTATAACGGCCTTTCACAGGAATTATGCTCCGTTATACTTTCAATACGTGTACCACAAAAAGGCGGAGTTCATCATAAATAAGTCCAAATCAACACGTAAATTGTGACAGAACCGACGGTATGTATGGAGTATGTATGTAGCAGGGGTGGCCCGGTGTGTGTGTGGTGTGCTGAATATTTAGTGAAAATGCTGTGAACTGACTGGGCAGGTTGGTTGGTTTCTGGTGGCTATTGATTTATTTAGTCCTCCTCATTTCCGCCGACGCAAAGTTCGCTTAAGGCCGCATGCCGCATTACTTTTGCTTCGTTTTAGCAAAGCCAGAAAACCCACATCACACATACTCGTCAACTCATTAGCACTGAAAGTTGGGATTTCTTCCCCCAGGAGGACCAGAGCGCCGCCTGAGTCCATTCGCAGACCAATCATGGATCTCGCTCCCTGCTTCGTCGCACAGCAATTAAAAGTTGCCTTTGTTCTAATTAATGACTGTGGTTGGCTGGGAACCACCCACCCACTTTCCTTTTCCCACTGCTATGCATTTAGTAGGCAGTGTTTTCCTTGTCCGTAAGGTTGAACTCATTTCCTGAAGAGATTTGGCTTTTTATTACTCTCAAATCTAACCACCATTAAAATTAGAAATAGTGTAATTGATAGTTTAATTTCTGTAAAATTGAATTTATGATTAGATTGTATTAACTCGTCCATGACCATGAGATTCAATTTTCTCATTAAGTAAATATCTCAACCTGACCCTATCTCATCGAGCATCTCTAATTTAAAGTTTGTTAACTGATTTACCTCCTGGGTGAGTAGATAATTGGGTGTAACTTCTGAATACGAGATTAATAGTTAACAAGCCATACTCGAACACAGTGGATGCATTGATTTATCATGAAATCGCTTCCTTAACTTATTATGTCGGGTTCAATGGGAGTAGTAGCAGTTGGCTCATCATCGCATAATGTGGGTATGTACTCGTAAATAGGTAACATGGTAGTTGGATTGATTAACAGAAGGGATGAGCGAATGTACGACGGGAGAATAATGAGAAAGATGCTGCTACATAGAGAGATGAACGGGGATGAATATCCATCAATCCACGAAGGAAGAACGAACACTTGTCATC